TTCCCCCTCCCCCTCCCGGCGGGACCCACTACGCACGCGCGGGTGGGGGGCGAAGTCGTGTGCTTATTGGCCCAGCGGGCGGAAAGGGGTGGAGCGTCCGCAAAGATGCGGCGCTGAATGGCGACGCGGGTGTAGGGGGAGGGGCTAGCCTTGCAGATCGGCGCTGGTTGGCGCAGAGGAAGGGAGGGCGGGATGTTTACCGCAGAGTCGGCGCGGATTGGCGGAGCGCGCGGAAGAGGCGGGCTTTCGGCCCAGCCGCTGCACTGATTGGGTCGGAGCCAGGCCGCGGCGAAGCCGGTTTGCCGACATTCCAGGGAGGAGGCGGGCTCTTCCCGCAGGGGCACGACGCCCATTGGTCCAAAACGCGGAACTGCGCGAGGCCTTGTTCACAACAGCGACCCCTATTGGGTGAAGAGAGATCGAGCGGCCGGCTCGCAGCCGCCGATTGGTGAATACTAACAGGGGCGGAGTAAGGCTGGCTAGCGACCCCTGGGATTGGTGGGAACGACCCATAGGCTCGGTGAGATTGGCTGAAACCCCGGAAGAGGCCAAACCCCCGTGGGCTGATTGGCCGAACGTGTTGCTATGGCCGGCGGGGGGTTCAAGGTTCAAACGGGGACCTCTGGCCCGGGCAAGCGGGGAGCGGTTACCATGACAACACCCGACCAGGGGCGTCGAAGGCCCCGCCCATCCCGGGGCTAAGATGGCTCCTCTCACCCCTCTGCTGAGAGGGCCCTGCCTCACACCAGGCTGAGCCCAGGGGGTTCACCCCACAGCAGCCAAGATGCCCTCCCTCTCTCCCTCCCAGCAACCCACCAAGCTGAGGATAAATGGCTGCTCTCACACCAGTGGGCCACAACAGCTGCCCTCATATTCACCCAAGCCTGGGGGCGAGCGGGCCCTCCTCAGGTTCCAGTGACTCCAATCCAGCCACCTCCCTTCCACCAACCCACAGCCAAGACGGCCGCCCCTCGCCCCCACAGCCGCCCCCATTCGCCCGCCCACGCCAGTTTAGCCCCTGGAGAATGCGGAGGGAGGGGTCCCTGAAATACCGAGGGGGACGAGACATCCCGGCAGGATACTAGGATCCCTCAACCTACGCCAAAATGGCTGCCCTTTGCCCACCTGTGCCAGGGGCTCTCCTCCATCACTCCCCGTATTGGGGTGGCAGTGGCAAAGCTGCCCCCCAACCCGTCCCAGGCCACGATGTAGTCACATGGAGGGCAGAGGTGACGGTGACTGGGAAGCAGGGAAGCTGCTAAACTCCATTTTATTCAAATCCACAAACTGAAGAACAGGGAAGCGTGGGACGGGGCAGCGGGGGAGGAGGCCCCCTGGCCCCCGAGAAGGCTCAGAGGCCGATGGTGTAGGAGCGCCCAGTCGGGTTGTGCAGGGCCGAACAGGCAGGCGCCGTCACGGCCCACTCGTACCACACCTTCTTGGCGTTGGTGCAGCGCCAGAAGGACACGCACACCCGCTCGCCCGCCTGCACTGCCAGCGGCTGCTGTGGGGGGACAGGGGCGGAGGACAGGTTAGCTCCAGGGACCCCAGAGATCCACCCCTCTCCCCGCTGACCCCAGTGCCGGGGGCAGCAAGGGGAAGAGATGATGCCATAAACCAGCCCTGCCCCTCGGCATCTCCCCACATGTCCCTGGAGCAGCATGGTCAGAAGGAGGGTCACTGGCAGGGAACAGAACCCAGGCATCATAAGTGTGGGATCTGCCCCTCCATGATTCGGTGGGGACCCAGGCATCCTAAGTACTGGGATGTGCTCCCCCATGACTGAACAGGAACCCAGGCATCCTAGATATGGGATATGCCCCCCCCATGATTGAATGGAGGACCTCCATGACTGAATGGGAACCCAGGTGTCCCATATATAGGAGTGACCCCTTTGCTAACATGGGTTCGGGTGGAACCCAGGCATCCAGGAGCCTTACCTTGATGGGGAAGAAGATGGGGAACCAGGAGAACATGCCTGGGGAATGCGTCTCAGGGCGGATGCCTGCAGGAAGCAGGGAGAGGGGTAAGTGGCATGTGGGGTCCCTGCCCCCCATCCATTCCCCCCCCTGCCCCTGGCACTGACTGAGCGTGATGTCGCCATAGAGGGTGGTCTCGAAGTAGCCGGCAAAGCCATGTAGCACCGTGTTCACCTCCACACTGAACTCCAGCATGCGGTACCGGCTATTGTCCCGCTCTGTATCTGCCCATGAAGCATAGTTAGGGGTATGGCCAAGGCAGGCCCTGCCCTCTGTCTTGGGAGGCGGGGTCAGCACAAATCCCACCCCCTTTTGCTGCTGGGGGAGTGGCCTGCTCAAGCCCTGCCCACTCCAATGCCCAATCAGGTGGTTGACTTGAGAGGGTGGGGCTAATATAGGCCCCACCCACTGTGCTGCAGGTAGGTGGGGCTAACCCAGGCCACACCCCTTCCCCACAGCGAGGGAACACTGCCCTGGGGAGGGGCAGGCTAGACAAGGCCCAGGGAGGCGGGGCCAGGCCAGGCCACACCCCCTTCTAGGAGGAGCGGGGCTGGGGGGACCTACCTGAGTTAGGGTGGTGGAAGGAGAAGCAGGGCTGGGGCGGTGCCAGCTGGTGGAAGTTGTGGAGCCGAACGACATAGGGCATCTCAAACTGCGCCTGTGTGGACAGACGAGAAGAGGGACAGGGGACAGATCTGGTCAGCAATCTGCCCATCCCGCAGCGCCCCACGTGCACCCTAAGGTGGCTCCTCTAGGCCCGGGCCAGGGTGCAGTGGGTAGGGCTATGTGGCAGCGGCCAAGGCTCACCTCAGGGTCACGGTCCTTCTCGCGGCAGGCCCGCACCTCATTGTAGAGCTTGGAGGAGCTGATGGGTGCCAGGAAGGACGTGTAGTCACAAGGGATGCTCACACCACCCTCTGGAAGGGGTCAGGAGGGGGTCAGATGGAGGGCAGGGGGCATCCCATGGCTGCTGCCCTCCCCCACAGCCTCCCCCTCATACCTCTCAACCCTATAGCCCCACCATACCTATCCCCCTCCATGACCTCTGACCCAGTCAGCCCCAACTATACCCCAATCGCCTCCCATATGCCACCCCCCTCTCAAACTCTAAACCCCCTGACCCCTGCTATAGCCTTGCCCCACCATATCCCACCCTCCTCCAAAACCCTAACTCACCCAGGCCTCTGCTGTAGGTTCTCCAACCCCCAATGCTGAGCTCTGCCCCACCTCATCTCCCCCCTGCCGCCCCGCACCCTTGAGGCAGTGCTGCGCCCCGTCCAGGCACTCCGGCGACAGCTCGTTGTCAGCGAAGGAGCCCAGCAGCTCCGAGACCACCACGTCGGCCTGCTCCGGCGCCGCCCACTCCCGCATGTCCCGCGACACCACTGTCACCTGCGAGCCCCACTCCTCATATTGCCAGCTCTCCAGCCTGCAGCACAGCATGCCAGAGGTTAACCCAGCAGCCCCATCAACTGGTAGCCCCACCCCACCCCAAGCTCGCAGCACCCAAGGGGTTAACCTGGGGAACTTGTCCCCCTCTCTCAGCTTGCCAGTCCATGGAAGAGTAATCCCCGACAGCTCCCCAGCCCATGGCACACAAGGGGTTAACCATGCCCCCTCCACCCCACCACCAGGCCTATGGCACTCAAGGGGTTAATCCAAGAAGCCCCCACCCCATACCTGGTCTCCAAGGGGGGGGGGAAATTAAACCAAGAGCCCTGCCCCCCAACATCTGCAGCACATGGCACCCAAGGGGTTAACACAGGGCTGAGGACACTGGCACATGGAGTATGGAGACACTGGGAAGTACTGGGAGACCTGGGATACCTCAAGGCAGGGGGACACTGGCACAGGGAGTATGGAGACACTGGGAAGTACTGGGAGACCTGGGATACCTCAAGGCAGGGGGACACTGGCACAGGGAGTATGGAGACACTGGGAAGTACTGGGAGACCTGGGATACCTCAAGGCAGGGTATGGAAGCACTGATGGGGGAAAACACTACCCGTTTATTCTGGTACCTGCTGATGGGCACCCAGTGACACTCCACCACAGGGCTGAGGGTTCTGGGGGAGAGTGTATCATCACTGGGATGTACTGGGAGAACTGGGCCACTCCAGGATATGGAGATAGGGATACTGATGGGAGGAAACCCACCATCTGATCACTCGGGTCCCTACTGATGGACGCTCAGCCAAACCCAGCCACCGAGCAGAGAATACAGGAGTACAGAGTCACCAGGATGTACTAGGAGAACTGGGGCAACCCCGGGCATGAAGACAGGCACTGATGCAGGACCAATACTGTCCTCTAGTTCCTACTGATGGACGCATGGCAACATGCCCCCATGGGGCTGGGGATTCTGAGGCAGGGAACACTGGGATACTGGGATGTACTGGGAGAACTAGGGCACCCCAGGGTAGCAAAACAGAAACACCGATGGGGGAAAATTAACTGCTCATTCACTCTACTCCCTACTAATAGACACTTTTTGACACTCCATCACAGGTCTGGGGCTTCTGGGGCAGGAAGCTGGGGGTCACTGGAATGTACCGGAGCACCCCAGGGCAGTGGAAAAAGGGCACTGATGCGGGAAAGCCATGGCCTATTCATTCTGGCCCCTACTGATGGGCACAAAGGCAGAGAGCACAGGGTTTCCTGCAGACACTCACGTGACGATGGCATTGGGATTCTTCTCAAC